CATGAAAAAAAAAAAAGACTTTCTTTCATTTGGCTCTGGCAGGGAGAAGTCCTGACAGCAGTTCCTCTGGAAATCCTAGTGGTTGGGCTAGAGAGCAGCAGAGAACCCACACTTCTGCACCAGTTGCTTCCATGGAATGAGCTCAGTCAGCTTGAAGGAGTTCCTGGTGGGGACTAGCATGTTTTGTAGTGCTGGTGGGTACACAAAAGGGCACTGCCGCTTTGGAAGATGCCATGCAAAGCCACAAAGACATGCTCAGCTCTTGCCGCACATACCTGCTTCTGAGGAAGCAACCAGATGTGCCCCATACTGTACCTATAGGGTTGCTGGGCATGGTGTGGTTTACAAGGCCAAACAGAAACACCACGTATGCCCCACAGTAGAGACTAGTTTAAGCTGAACTTGTTAGGAAGGGCATCATCATAACTAATTTGCCTTTTTCACTGTGGATGTCATTCCATCAGGACATGTCCCATGCATTGCAATATATTCTTGGCCTGGCCTATTGAACTCCCTTACTTGCCAACCAAGTTTTGGGATGATCCAAAATGTCCCTACCAATTAACAAAATGCCTCAGTTGAGAAAGCCCTGAATTCAGAAGCCCCATAACCAGTGGCTGAGTATCCTTTATTTTTTAAAAAAACACTGTGAAAGCCTATCTGTGGGTGGATGAACCTTTCCCTCTGGACCACCTAGAGAGAACCAGGACTGAAACCAGCCTGGATCCAGACCAGTGTGATCCTCGCTCTGTGGCTGACAAGCTCTCTGACCCTGGGATGGTCTGAACTGTGATGGCTGCATTAGATCTCTTCCCCTGGCTGGGTGGGAATCCCAAAAGGCCTTTGTGCCTTTCTAGATGATGCAGGTTGTAAGTGGTGGTTTTGTGATCTCTTCTGATATGTACTAATGAAACTTAAGCAGAAACTCTGATAAATCTTAATAAAAATTTAAAAAAGCATGCCCTGGCAGTGTAGCTCAGTTGGTTGGGCATTGTCCAGTGCACTGAAAGGTTGCCGGTTTGATTCCATCAGGGTACAGACACAGGTTTCGGGCTTTATCCCCAGTAGGGGACATGTCAGAGGCAGCTGACTAATGTTTCTCTCTCCCTCTCCTTTCCTTTCTTCTCTAAAACAAACAAAATGTTTGGGGGGGAAAAAGAAACTCTGAAGCAGGGTAGGAGGGGGTTGAGTGTATGTGTACAGGGCCCGGGTTGGGGACAGCGTGTATGTATGTGGAGCGAGGTTTAGAGCATAACCTTTGGAAGCAAGCAAACCTTACCACTCACCAGTTGGGCTTTAGGTTTTGCACTGTAAAATGGGATGCTTGTGGCACAGACGTACTTACAATGGTTGCTATTACACTTCTTCAAAGCAACCCATTATAAAGCATCAAACTCCATTGTCCTCATTCTGGTCCAATTCCCGGTCAAGGGCATGTACCTGGGTTGCATGGTCAAGGTGACAATAATTTACAAAGTTTTTCCAGACCGGCATTGTTTCCAGTTACTACCACCTGCTGGAGGACACTGGCAGATGCTGCAGTCCTGGCAGGCCCCTGCCAATTTGCTATCAGAAGCACCAAGCTGTGTGTGTCCCTTTCTCAGGATGGGTCTTGGGGAAATCCAAGCCATTCCCCAGCTCTGGATATAAGTAGTGTTTGTTCTTGGCTTGTTGCAGGGTGTGAAGCAGGATTGGTGATGACTGCTTGGAAAAGAGGATTGAGGGACATTGATTCAAAACCAGGAGATTCTCAGTCAGTGTTGATTCTAAGTCTGTGCTTCACTTAATTGGGAGGTGGAAAGGCTTTCAAGACCCCAGTGACCCTCCTTTCCCAAACTTGCACAGAAAAAAACCACACTTATTTATGGCGGAGGTCTGTATGAGACTGCCTAAGTTGCTGTGAGTCTGAAATCAGTGGGGCAGAGAACTGTGAGGCGGAACCTGCACACCAAAGCCAGGCACTTACATTACTCTCACTCTCAAAATTTACTCAGCACAGGCCTCCCCTCCCCTTTCAACATTTGATTTGCCACATACATCATTATCGAATAGCTAGGCGAGATATATATATATATTGCTAATCCTCACCAGAGGACATTTTTCCCATTTCTTTTTTCAGAGGATGGAAAGGAGGGAGGAAGAGGGACAGAAACATTGATTGGCTGCCTCCCGCATATACCCTGACAGGGCAGGGGACCAAATCTGCAACCCAGGTACACGCCCTTGACCGGGAATTGAACCTGAGATCCTTCGATGCGCAGGCCAACACTCTAACCGCTGAGATACACCGGCTAGGGTGCTCAGTGATATTTTGATGATTTCTCACTAAGATACCCTGACTCTGAACTCAGGTTGGCATGAGCTGTTTCCCAATGAAAAGATACCCCATCTATTCCCTAGGTACACACTTCTGCACATGGAGTAAAGCAATGGCAGAGCAGCTGAGAATCACCAGGGTGACAATGGCCCAGATGATGAGGGAGGAAAGGCCCGGGGCAGACAGGTGAAATCAGAATCTCAACTGGTTTGAACTTCCCAGGGTTTGAGCGAAAGGAGCACAGGGAATATTTATTTTCATCTGAAGGAGTCATGTGCATCTGTATCTGGGGGACTTTTGCTGCTGCCTGGTTTTATCTGGGCAAGACATTTGTCCTTATGGGAGTAAGTGGCTTCAAATCCTCTTTCTACAAGTCCCCCACTTCCTTCCTTATAAAGGGGGAAATCCTCCACTAGTCATCGTGGGACAGGCAGGTGGACATACAAGTAGATGGGTATTGTGGGCCACAAGCAATTTTTATGCAGGAAGGTTCTTCTCACACGCCCTGGAGAGAAATTATTTTAAAGCAAACAAAGCCTACTTCAGTGAGAGAGGTTCCCTGGAACATGCTGGTGATATTCCTTCCATTTTTTTAGTTGTTTTTATTTTTTTTTCTTTAAAGTCCATTGATCGTCACAAAAACCAAGAAATGCAACTAAGGAGAAAACAAATGTCCAACGGAGATCTAAGAACCCAGAGCTACGGAGGAGACGGCACTGGACTGCTGGGTGTTCAAGAGGGGGCGGGAGGGGCAGTCTCCACGGGGCAGCTGGCCATGGGAAACACAGGAAGGTGAGGCCACCTGGCAGGGCCGGGTGGTTATGTTAATCGTTGCACGATGACGGCGTTGAGCAGGTTGGCTTCCTTAAGGGTCTGGTTCTCATCAGCCAGCTCTTTGTTCGGGAAAGTAGTCATGAGGACAAAGCTGGTGGCGGCCATGGCCGGCCGGGCGTCCACAATGAAGAGTCGGATGTCACTGATCCTGGTGGAGCAGGGGTGAGTGGGAAGTGGGTGAGCAGTGCCCTTCTCTGCTTCCCACAAACCCCACCCTGCAGCAGGAAGCACCACATCCCCCAAGCCCCCTCCCCTGGCCCTGTCTTCTAGAGAGTGGCCAAAGCTCTCCTTTGGAAGCCCATCTGAGCAGGCCACTCCCTTGCCTGAAACCCTTCAGGGTTACTCCCATTTTCTTTGGGAGAAATACCCATCTCCTTACTGTGGTCCCAAGGCTTGACCAATTTTACACCACCCTCCTTCTCCTTTCACTTCTTCTTCATGCTATGCTCCCTGCCTACATTTGGGTCCCTCTTTCTAGAGGCTCCTCTGCCTGATTCTTTTCCTGTAATCCTAATCAAACCTTAGGCCTCAGTCAGCTCAAATGCTGCCTCCTTAGGGCAGCCTTCCCCCCAAGCTCCATCCCCTGATCTTACTCCCACAGTACTGATCAAGTTTGTAATCAAACAATTTTGGGATATGATTAAGGTCTGTCTCCCCCTGTAGACCATGAATTCCACAAGGGCAGCAAATATTATGTCTCTTTTAAAAACCACTAAAACTATTAGTGAGAAGAATTACTGAAGGTCAGTAACCCTTGAGTGCCAGGAATCCCTACTCTAGATACTGCTTGTGTCCTGAACCTGGTGACCACAAGAAGAGTCATCTGAAACAGCCAGCCTCTCCCCTAGAGTGCTTAAACAGAAACTTCTTTCTACCTCCAACACTTTAAATTTATGCGATTCACAATCTGGCACATCTAAGGGCGTAGACATCCATGATACAGTCTGAGACCTTCAGCAGAGTCCTCTTACCCACCAGCTGGTAAACTCTTGGGATGGGCTGTCCACCCGGGGGAGTTAGCAATCATGCTGAAAGGCTGGAGTTACTGAGTGCTGGTACTCAGGCAAAGAACTCAGACAAGTGACAGGAATTAATTCCCTTAAACACAAAGCGCCTAACAGTGCAGTGAACAGTTCCTACTGAACAAGAAATGTTTGAACAAAGATTCCATGTGCTCCTGGGGCTTGTTTCACAGCTTACTCAACACGAGAACCTTGTCAACACTCAAGGATTGTCAAGTCATTCACTGAGTCCCACATGTGGGTTCTGGTTCACCTGGCCTATGATTGATGACATTTAGACACTGCTAGTCTAGAAAAGGAGTTGTCAAATATCTTTACTCTATCCTCCCCTGCTAATCACTTCATTACTCTGTGTCTGTAAAATGAGGGAGGCAGTTTGCTTTGATCCAGGCCAGATGATCTGAGATAGTAGAGCAGGTGTTCTGGAATTCTCAAATGCCAGATCTGGAAACCTTAATAGCCTGGTCATTTTCAGAGGCCCCTTGTGGGAAGGAGGTGAAGAAAGCCATGGGTGGGATGCTGGTACTGTGTCTCCTCTCCTCTCTAGCAAGCACAGCTGTTCAAATTTTATCTGTTCTACCTTTGGGATTTAGCATGAGATTTCCTTTGAACAAAGAGTTTGATGGCTGAAAAAATCCCTAAGGAATCCAATCCCCTAATTTTACAGGTAAGGAATGAGAACCACAGTAGGTAAGAGAGCAATCACTGGCCACATTTAATGGAATTAGGGGCCAAAGGCTTCAGACTTGCATGCTTTCCATTCCATTGCCTCCTTTTCGAAAAGCATGGAGTGCCTGCTGGGGTTAGAAGAAAAAACAGCCCCCCTGCCTCCCCCTTTGGTGGGAATCTCTGGGACCCTCCTAAAATAAGGTAGGCCAGACAATATAAGGTACCTGTGGCTGTGATTAAATTTTTGCACCAGCCTCCCGCCATCAGCAAGCCGTATTTGGATGTTTGTGGTAGGCTGTGTCTCGTCGATGGAGATGGAAGAGCTGGCTTTGGCTTCATTTTCTGCTTGCTGGGCTGGAAAGACGGTATTCAATACCTGGGGTGCAGTGCTGAGGAGAGAGGATCCAGTCAGGACACTAACAAAAACAAGGCACGAGGGAAATCCTGTCTCAGATTTGTACTAAGCAGTTGCTGCACCTGGCATTGTGTTTGGTGTTGCTGAAACAGGAATGACTAAGACAGAATGCCTGCCCTCATGGAACTTACAGGCCCAGCAGAACTCTCCTCAGACTCTGAGTTACTGCTAGCTCCCCCTCACTCCTAATAACATTGGGCAAGTTATTCAATCCCCTCTTCCTTGATGTCCTCACATGAATAAGGGCTTAAAGAGAGGAAAGCTGTATGCATGGCAGCCTGGGGTGGGAGAGACCATGGCCGGAACTTGAAGGGTCCAACAGACCAGGATGTGTTTAGCTTCAGAGAGGTGGAGGGCAGAATGAGGAGAGGAGCACTCCAAGTCTGCAGTGGAGGCAGGCTTGACACAGCCTGGCAGTGGCTGATGGACATAAGGGATGAGCCTAGACTCTTTCTCTGTGATGGACTTTTCAGGCCTGCATTCCCTACTGAAATCTCACTCATGTGTCTATTTCATACTCATGTGCCAACTATGAGAAAGGGGGATGGATGCGGGATTTCCTGAAGACCAACTAAGTGCCCGGCACCATAGGGGTTGATTATATCTTATGAATAAGACACGGTGTCTGCTGCAGTGTTCAGAGCTCGCAGATGGACCGGGGCTAGAATTCACCCACTAGCCATGGTGTGTTGAGCAAGTTACTTAAGCTCCCTTAATTTCAACAAGGGTAGTAACAAGGATTTTTAACAAGGGTTAAGGCTACCAGCCTTGCTCAGTTTTTGTAGGGATTTAAGGAGTGAATCAAATAAAGCAATTAGAGTAGCTGACAAACAAAATGTACATAGAACTCCCAATTCTCCACAACCATTTAAAGCCTTTGTCTCTCTCCTGTAAACCACCATACATCTCACCCTCAGCCTTTCTCTTAGCACAGTGGTCAGCAAACCGCGGCTCGCGAGCCACATGTGGCTCTTCGGCCCCTTGAGTGTGACTCTTCCACAAAATACCACGTCCAGGCGCGCACGTACAGTGGGATTAAAACTTCGTGGCCCATGCACAGAAGTCAGTTTTCGGCCCGGGCGAGTCTATTTTGAAGAAGTGGCGTTAGAAGAAGTGGGGGTACGTTCGCTGAGGTCGACCCCTCAGATTGAGGACGTTTTTAGCAAAGGCCAGCTTAGGAGTAACCTAATTAAGTTAATAACAATGTACCTACCTATATAGTTTAAGTTTAAAAAATTTGGCTCTCAAAAGAAATTTCAATCGTTGTACTGTTGATATTTGGCTCTGCTGACTAATGAGTTTGCTGACCACTGTCTTAGCAGATGCCCTGGCCTAGGCCTTTGCAAATCAGAGGCTATTAGACCAAAGCTTGCTTGTTTCCCCTGAAAGCCTCTAATCAGATCAGCCCCTATACCTCTCCCTTCCCTCTGATCTTTAAACCTAAGAAGGGTACTCTTAGCACATTCAACTGGAAGTCGTTTCCCAAGTGTGCTTCCTGGGGTCCTAGTCCCTTGAGATATCTCCAGGAAAGTTTCAGAAATGCCACATATTACTACACCAGCAGCATCATGGGGCACTAGTGTATTAAAGGTATTGAGAGATTGTGCGGTTAAGGCAAACTTATTCTAGCACCATGTTCTTTTCATGTTACACTTGTTGATCACTTGCAGAGAATTTCAATCTACTAAATGGCAGCCATTATTATTCAGGAGTCAGTGTGATGCTGGAGAAAGAGCATAAGACCAGCCATCTGGTCCCAGCTCTACCACTAAATTAAACAAGAGGACTGGCCTTGAACAAGTCACTTGACTTCCCAGGGCTTCAGTTTCTCCAGGTGTAGCACAAGGAACTGTTCTGCTATGAGGATTAGATAAGATAATGTATGCAGAATGCCCAAGACAGGACACTCCAAACAAGAAAGCAACTGGTATTTTTGGCTTTCTTCCTAGTACAGCCTCTTGCATAGAGCTGGTGCTCATCATCTGAAGGTCAAAGAAGGCCTGACACATGGACTTGCCATGCGTCTGACTGTTTCTCTTGCATACTCTGAAAATAAGGTGGGTTAGGGAAGCATGATGAATATAGTGTATGTTTACGAAGCACCCATTACCAAGATGGACCCTGTGCAGAGTACTTTACAAGTATTAGTTCACTTAATCCTCACAACAGCCTGCAAGGAAGGGATTCAGCATCTCCACTTTACAGATGAGGAAACCGAGGCACAGTGGGATTAAGCAACTCACCCAAAATTCCAGTGTTGGTTCTAGGTGAAGCCAGGATATAATCCAAGCTGTCTAGCTCTAGGTCCTGTGCTCCTAACACCTACCACACTTTCCTGCTATGTCTGGGAGTCAGGCAGACATAGACTTGATTTCAGAAACATTACCCCCAAGATGAAATTTCCTCATCAATAAAATGGGAGTTAAATAAAATCCCCCATAATTACTAATAGCTAAAAATAATGCACCATACCCAGAATATAGAAGAAACACAAATAGAAGTCTATGTGGCTATGTAAGAACATCCAGGGTAGCCCTAGCTGGTTTGGCTCAGTGGATAGAGCGTCGGCCTGTGGACTGAAAGGTCCCCGGTTCGATTCAGGTCAAGGGCACATGCCTGGGTTGTGGGCTCGATCCCCAATGGAGGGGCGTGCAGGATACAGCCAATCAATGATTCTCTATCATCACTGATGTTTCTATCTCTCTCTCCCTCTCCCGTCCTGTCTGATATATTCCAGGGTAAAATGTAGTATGGAGGGACATGGTAGTCTTGCAAACTCAAAGACCTAAGTAACCACAAAGGATGGTCTGAAATTAAAATTTAACTAAAAGCAGTTGGTGGGTAGTCACCTCCTAGGCCGGTATCTTCACTGATAAGGTCATCCTTTACCTTAACTGAGCCTATCTGTCTTTTTGCATCTATGATAACACATCCTTGAAACATCTGGGTAACTTGTAACTTCCCTTTTTCTGGGCCCCTTGGGTCACAACCTAATGTGCCTGGGCGCCAGGACAGATACCACAAATTCCTTTGTTGTCATTGTTGTCATGTTAATTGTTGATTGTTAACTATCCTGCACCCACTTATGTGTCTATCATTTTGCTTTTTATCCAATCCCAGAGGTTTCCCCACTTTGCTTTCTCCTACCTCTCTTGTCTATCACCAGTGGATTTCATGTAACACACCTACATCTCCTCCTTTGATTGCAATGTATAAAAATAGATAAAAGACCGCCATTCTCTGGAGCATTATCCCAAATCATTGAGATACTGCTTCCTGGCAATTGTCGACAGTTTGGCTCAAATAAACTCACAAAAATTCTTTACAGGTTTAAATATTTTTACGTTAACATGTTGTAGAATTATGCACCTGAAACCTGTATAATTTTGTTAACCAGTGTCACTCCAATCCTATCTAATAATAGACAAACATGGTAATTGGCCGTACCTTCGCTACATCTCCCATTAGCTAATCAGCGTGATATGCAAATTAACCACCAACAAAGATGGCGGTTAATTTGCATACGTAGGCTCCAAGGGGTGGAGCGAAGCCTGACGGCCTGGGGCAGCGGAGCAGCGAGGCCTGACGTTTCCTGGGCCAGCAGAGCAGCGAGGCCTCACAGCTCCGGGGCTGGCTCTGGCCAGAACTCGGCCAGAGCGAAGGCCTGGGCCCCGGGCGCTGGAGGCAAACCGGTGCCAGCACCCAGGAGAAAGGAAGGCCTATTGCACGAATCTCTTCGTGCAACAGGCCTCTAGTAAACTTAATAACAAGAAAAAAAATAAGCCTCAGAATCCTTATTTATAGAATGTGGATCAAAACAGGATTAAAAGCCATAATACATATGAAATACTTAGTATAGTGCTTAGTTAACTGTAGAAAAACACTCAAATAGCTGATTGCTATCATTCTTCAAGGTCCTCTTCCACTTATGTTTGCCTAAATTCTGGACCCAAATCACTCAGAGATGCTACTGTCTACCCATGGGCTGTAAATGGAAGGTCACTTGAGAGGCACTCCAGCCTAAGCTGAGAGGTAGGGAGTGGAGAAGAAACCTCAATACTGGCCTTGTGATTCTAATTTGAAGCAAGACATTCAAAGAACATTAGATCTATATTGTTCTAATCATTGTGTAGGACAGCCATGTTCAAGGGATGCCCAGTCTGTGTCTGGTGCTTGAGAACTGCTATCACCTGAGTCATTCCTCTCCAGCAGTGGCTGAGCCATCTGTAGCAGTGAGGGCACTTCATCCAGGGGCAGGAATGGTCAGATCAGATCAGACATCTATCAAAAAAGGAGTTTCTTTACTGTCTCCCTGAAAATATCATGAGTCACAGGGAAACTGAGTCTTATTCAGATCAAGAGCTTGAATCATCTGACTGCTCATTTCCTTTGTAGTGAAAATAAAGTAGACACTAAGATGCTTTGTTTCCACAATTACAAGTTCTGAGACCCTGCCATCAAAATTGACTACTACAAAGCAAGGTGAGCAGCCAAAGCTCATCCCCACACTGTAATGACCCAGCTCCACCCAAGTGCAACTCCTGGTGTTTGTTACTCAAACTCAAATAAATGCAGTCTTATCCAAACCTTCAAATTAGTTCCCATGCAAACTGCAACAGCTAAAACAATAAAGTAAGTGTAACGTAACTGAAAGAATTTTTTCAACTGAGAACAATCTATTCATTCACTTCAAAGTATTTTTTCAGATCATCAGAGAAAAAACCCCAGGATTGACTTTTGAGGCAAATCTGAGGAAATTTTTTTAAACTTTTGGTTCCTGATCATTTTAGTTGACAAGATGACAATGGAAAACAGTAAAATTTATGGGTAAAATTAAAAAACACACAAAAACAAACAAACAAAAAACCCCCCACAAAATGGAACAACAAAAAACAAACCCAAAAGGTTATCCATCTGGTTTAGACTAAAAAGTTAAATCCCATCTCACTTAACTATATAAAACTTTTTTTTAAAGCCCTGGCCAGTGTGGCTCAGTTGATTGAGCATTGTTCTGTGCACCAAAAGGTTGCCTGTTTGTTTTTTTTAAAGTAATTTTTGACATATTTTTATTGATTTCAGAGAGGAAGGGAGAGGGAGAGAAAGATAGAAACATCAATGAGAGAGAATCATTGATTGGCTGCCTCCTGCACGCCCCACACTGGGGATCGATCCCACAACCCAGGCATGTGCCCTTGACCGGAATTGAACCCAGGACTCTTCAGTCCACAGGCCGACGCTTTATCCACTGAGCCAAACCGGCTAGGGCAAAAGGTTGCCAGTTTGAGTCCCCAGCAGGGCATATGCTTGTGGGCTCTATTCCCGATAGGGGGCGTGCCAGAGGCAGCCAACTGATTGATATTTTGCTCTCACATCTATGTTTTTTCTCTCTCTCCCTCCCTCTCTTAAAAAACAAACAAAAAAAGCCAATAAGAACACATTAAAAATAAAAAAACACCAGAACTAAAATAAAATGAAAGTGGAACTGGCAATGAACATTTATTTAGCTGACAAACACCACACCTGATCATCAAACTGTCTCCATCTGTGGGTTCATCCTCCACACTAATAAAGTATGTATTCCCATCCTGCTAAAACAGACTGCCTTACAAATATTTTCATTTTTTGAGATGCGGAGTCTTGTACGCCTAATATTGTTGTATCTTCTAATAGTAAAAGCATTTCCTGTTAGTATTATGAAACTGAACAATCCCCAAACTACATGGTGTTCTGAGCCTTTCCCTATAATTGCTGGTGGGTAAAAAACTGATAAAACCTTTTTTGGAGATCAATTTGACAACGTAAAAATGTGAAGACCTTTGGAGCCAGCAATTTTACTCCTAGTCCATGATTAAGAGGCATACGAAGATTTAATTAGAGATATTCACTGCAATGTTGTTCATAATACTGGCAGCTGCCTAAATGTTTAACAGCAGAGACTGGTTCAATTATAGCACATACGTAGGACAGAAAATTATATTAGCATTAGAAATAAAGTTATAGAAATACATCTGCTGATATGGAATGACAGCAATACTATATGGATTAGGCAAAATAGCAGGTGCTAAAACAGCATGTTTACACACATACTGTACATATACCAGTAAAACTAGGATACTTCCAGGATACTGACTGAGTATACTGGGAGTTAGGTTTAGGAATAGTTTTTATTCTTTATCTGCATTTTCTATTTTTTTAAAAAAGATAAACACAATCCATTTCAATAATATTAAAAGAAAAAAATTATCTGGTGCTCTACAAAGCTTACCATAGCTGACAGGGAAGCTACAAATGGACTACCTTGAGAATCGTTGTCCTGGACTAACCCAGGACCCCAATGTGGTAGGTAAAATGATGAGCAGGGTGGACTTAACTAAGTTGGTTCTGGTAAATTATACTCTGTTGGTCTCTAATGCCCTGAGCTATGACCCTTGCCTCTGATGAGGCATGATGGCCGACAGGGAGGTAGGGAATCCTAGGAGAGGGCCAGCCAGCAGCTCAAAGAGCACAGCTGTTGATAGACCACATTTTGATCCCTGCAGATGAGGGTGAGAAGAGCAAGGGCAATGGAAGAGCTACCAGATCTAGGTCAGAGAGGATTTCTTGTGATGCAGGAGTGTGGGAAGGAATGCCATTAGAAGCCCGTGTTCTGGCTCCAACACATACCAGTCATGTACCCAAGGGTAACCCTTAAAGTCCAAGAGCCTCAGCTTTCTCTTTGTAAAATAAGGACTATGCTCTGAGTGCCTCTCATGTGTACTCAGTTCCCTCTGAAGAATAATGGTCAAGTGACCCCATGACCATGGCCAAAGTGAATGGGACCCTAAGAGAAGGCAGCCTGCATATAGGCTGGTCAAGGGTCTGGTGGGAGAACTCTGCCTATCAGAGGTAACAGTGCCTATCAATTAACCAGATCCCATCAGAGGTCTGAATGCAAGATGGAGGCCGTGGCAGAGGACACAGGCAGAAAAGTCACAGGAAGTGACAGAGTGAGTATCAGGAAGGACCAGAGAAGTAAGAGATAAGAGCTAACATAATGGTTGACCAGTAGCCTGCACTGGGCAACAGTATCCTTGAGCTTTTCTGGATCCTGAACAATGCTGCTGCAGGGCTTGCTGGGAGGGAAGAGTCCAAGATCCCTTATTCCCCCTGAATCCCCATTTCAGATGACCTGAGTATGTGTGTCTGTTTCAGCCTGAAGCCATCAAGACTTCACACTCTAAATTACTGAGTCAAAGCAGCAATGTGTTACCCTTACTGCTCATTGTGGGGCAGTGCTCTGTGTGCTCCTCAAAACAATAATCAAAGAGGTAAGGACTCTCATCAGTCCCATTTTATAACTGGGAAAACTGAGGCTATACAATCCAAGGTCATGCATGGGGCTAGAAAATGAAGATTTAAACTCAGGTCTATTAACATCAAAGTCCACATTCTCCATAATTTTCCTCCCATAAAAATAAAATGGGAAATACTTTGTAAAGAGTAAAGACTTATACAAAGTGAGCAATACACAGGATATGCTGAGCCTAACAGGCAGTTCCACTCCTACCTGTGCTGCTCCTTACCTGCCCAGTTTCTGACCCTCGCCCGTGAAGGCTTTGAAGGCTCCTTTGGGCTTCACAAAGTCCTCATCTCGATGGTCCTCCATGTCCAAATTCACCTGCCCACCATGAGCTAACCTCCGCAGCTCTGCTGGCACCTCCCTGCAGGAGAAAATGCAATGCTGGGACCCACACAGAGAAGGATGGGAATGACAGTGATAGTATAAACTTTTCAGTGAAAATCGTTGGGCCTCCACAGAAAGCTGGCTACTCTCATGGCTGTTTGCCTCCCTTTCCCTCGTCTACTCAAAGGCATGGTAGAGACCTGTATTTACTTGGTCAGTTGGTTATGCTCAAGGACCAAACAAAACAAGACACAGAAGCAGATCTGTGAATCTATACCTCAACTGTGCTAAATCTGCTTACAAATGTTTACTTCTTAAATAGTAAATACTCAGATCACCCATCTCACTCAATGACATGGAATCTAGAAGAGGATTTTTCTGCTCACCCTCTGCGGATTGACTCCAGAAACTGGGCATTAGATGGGTCTTGGTAGCTTCTGAGTTCACCATTGTCCAGGCTGAATCCACTCTTCCAGAGCTTCAACACTATATGAACCTGTGACAAGAGGAGGTAAGCAGTCCATCCATTGTCAGGAACCTCGCAAGCACACCATTGTGAACCTGCAAGTTAGCATGTTTTTACTATTTTACTGTGCCATTATTAAAACACAGACAGACAGACAGCCTGGCTGGTGTGACTAAATGGTTGAGCATCAACCCATGCACCAAGAGGTCATAGGTGCGATTCCCGGTCAGAGCGCGTGTCCAGGTTTCCGGCTCAATCCCCAGCAGGGGGTGTGCATGAGGCAGCCAATTGATGTTGATGTTTCTCTCTCATCAATGTTTCTATCTCTCTCTTAACCTCTCTCTCTCTCTCTCTCTCTCTCTCTCTCTAATAAATAAATAAATAAATAAATACAGCACAAATACTAATGTACGCTCAGGAAATAACCAATCAAATAAGTATTAACCTAAAATAAGAAGATAATATAGCACAGATTAAAAGAATGGGCTTTAATTTAAGCAGACCTGGGTCTGTGCTTTCATTTTGCCAATCGCTAGCTCAGTGGCTGCTCTGAGCAGATGACTTAATTGAAACTGTGGCTTCCTCATCTGAAGGGTTGCCAATGTGCTTGGCATGTAGCTTGTGCTCAACTAAACTACCTACAGACTATTTAGCAGTCATTAAAAATATCTAGAACTCCCTATATGTATTCATAGAAAAGGGTCTAGAAGGCTAAAAACCAACATATTAGCAGCTGCCTCAGGTGAATAGAATTTCTATTTTCTTCTTCCTGGCCTTTTATTTTGTAATAAAAGCCCAAATGATTAAAAAATGAATACATTATGGAAACTAATGGTGACAAGGCTATATGAAAAAGTTTATGGCCCTAACTGGTTTGTCTCAGTAGATAGAGCGTCACCCTGAAGACTAAAGGTCCTGAGATCAATTCTGTGTCAAGGGCACATGCCCGGGTTGTGGGCTCAATCCCCAGTAGGAGGCGTGCAGATGCAGCTGATCAATGATTCTCTCTCTTCATTGATATTTCTATCTCTTTCTCCCTCACCCTTCCTCTCTAAAATCAATAAAATATATTTTTTTAAAAAGAGAGAGAACTTTTTAAAAAAGATAATGGCATTAATATTAAATTAAAACAACCTCAAAACTGTTTATCCTATATAATAAAAGCCTAATATGCAAATCGACCAAACTGTGGAATGACCGGTGGAATGTCTGGTTGTTATGATGCACACTGACCACCAGGGGGCAGATGCTCAACGCAGGAGCTGTCCCCTGGTGGTCAGTGCGCTCCCACAGGGGGAGTGCCACTCAGCCAGAAGCCAGGCTCACGGCGGGTGAGCGCAGTGGCGGTGGCAGGAACCTCTCTGCCTCTGTGACAGCGCTAAGGAGCAGTGAGCAGGCGGGGGATAAGGAGTGAGGGGTCCCAGAGTGTGAGAGGGTGCAGGCGGGGCTGAGGGACCCTCCCCCTCAATGCACGAATTTCATGCACCAGGCCTCTAGTATAGTATGATTAGTCTTACTGAAGGGGAGACCCTTATGCACAAGGACAAGAGAACTGGGTAATAGTAAGGAAATTTTCTTTTTAAAGTTGCATTTCACGCCTCTTCTGGTTGTCTGGAGATCATTCTTTAGCTTTGCCTATCCCACCAGACAACCCTGAATATACTGCCCCTCTGCCTGAGATCCATGGAGTGCCAGTAGACTTCTTTGTTTGTCCATCCCCTCTGCTTACCCCTTCTCAGAGCCCTCTGCCCAGCCAGATGAAAGCTACCTTGGATTCTCAGGTAAGCTTCTCTGTTCATGTGCCACAGCAAGGGCACTGTCTCTTCCCTTTCACAGGCTGCTGGTTCATATGTAACATAACCAATCCCTTCTGAAAAATGGTAGAACAGTTCACAAACTTCCCCCTAAGGAAGGTAGATGCACACTCACATCTTGACTGGAATGCCGCCTCCTTTCTCCTGCTACGTAAGCAGACTCTTCCTCTGGTGCTGCCCCAAGGCGGTAGCCACCCCCAGCAAATGGCTATAAAAGAAAAATTCATAAAGACTTGAGGAATGGGTCAATAGAGGTGGGGTTACTCACATACAATGATGTATTAAAAGCTCATTAACTACTAGATCCACTTTCCACAAATGTAGAGCTACAGGCCCAGGTGGAACTGCAGAGCCATTTACATGCCTGGTCATTAAGTGGCCAGGATTAGGGTGAGAACTGGAAGAGGGGAATGCTGCTTGGCTCAAGGGAACAGTTGCTCCTAGCTCTAGTTAATCATCACCAGGCAGAAATTGGTGTATAGGATAACGGCAGAATTTTTGATTTCCCCAAAGAGACAGAAATCCAGATTTTAAATAAAACAGGTGCCTATTAATTCAATTAAAACAAAATAAAGCAAAACACTAAGTCAAATTGGATAGGCCATATAAAATGTGTGCAGAACCCAACCCAGACCACAGGTCACAAGTTTGAAAACATTGCTCCAAATCTTGATTTCATATTAAAGGGTGGGAGAAACCGTGCTGCTCTTCTGTGTATGAGAGTAAGCGACAAATGAAAAACAAAACAAAAATTCAGTCACTACTGAGGTGAGGAGGGCCTCCTTCTCTTGCTGGAACCTGAGTCCTGTGGACAGAGACGAACTTCTATGCTCACTTTTGGTTTACTGGTCTCTCCAGGGCTCCTGGTCATTTGCTCCACAGCTACAGCTCCATGTTCCTTGGCACCTTTAAATAGATCATCCACCAGCTCATTGGGACTTCTCTTCCTGGGAGGACCAACAATCTGTTGTCCACTTCTCTCCGAGCCTCCGGCATAAAACCTGTGCGGAAAATACACATCTAACACCAAACGTACTTGAAAACACAAATACAGTATGTACCAGGTTCTGGGCTAGGTGCTGGGCACATTGAGGAGAAGGGTACTATGCCCATTTTTAAGGAACTTACTATCTAGTTGGGGACACATGTAAGGAGGCAGGCAGGCATAATGCAGTGTGAGCAGCAACAGAGGCCAGTATAAGGGGTACTCTGGAAACACTGAGCTGGGGAGGATAGTCAAGGCTTCCTAAGAAAGGTGTCTTCGGAGCTGAGTCTTGAGTAAGAGGATGAGATTATCAAGTGAAGAAATCAGGGAAGGGCATTCCAGGCATGCATGACAGCAAGTCAGCTTCGGAGAGTCCCAACTGACAATTAGCCATCCAGTGGCCAACACCTCTCCAGAACATAGCAACTATGGCCACAGTCACAAGCAGCTACCACTAGCAGTTCTGTGCTAATGGTGACAGTGGCATAGTTAGTACAGGCAGCGAGGCTCCAGTACTGGCTCTGCTGCTGAGTGACCCTGGGCAAGCCAGTGCATTGCCCTGTATCTTATTTTCCTTGTCTCTGAAATGGGAGGAAAAAAATCACATGCCCTACCTACCTGCTCCTTAAGTCAGGGCCGAAGTTCAAATCAGCAGATGTATGCAAAAGAACAAGCACAAAGTAATGCACACATGTAAGGTGGTGTGATAGAGCACCAAGAGCTCACCCAAGCCTTACCTCACCTTGCTATTCTTGTGACATATACTGGGGGCACTGTGGTGAGGGTATTTGAAAAGGTCAGGGATGCTCAAAAACAAGCCTGAAGGTACCCACATTGGGTTTTGCAATGGGCCAAGCATGGCTTGAGATTAAGTTAGCACTTTTTTACCTGGGTCTGAAAACCAGGAGTCACATAGCCTGGCTAGCTGCCTCCTTATTACTCCTATTCACAGCTGAGTCAATAGCATGTACTTGGGTAGGGGGAATTAAGAACCTATAAAAATCAGTCTCAACCTTTCATTTCCTGACATTCCCTAAGAAATGCAAGGCAGCCCTAACCGGTTTGGCTCAGTGGATAGAGCGTCGGCCTGAGGACTGAAGGGTCCCAGGTTCAATTCCGGTCAAGGGCATGTACCTTGGTTGCGGGCACATGCCCAGGAGGGGGTGTGCAGGAGGCAGCTGATCGATGTTTCTCTCTCATTGATATTTCTAACTCTCTATCCCTCTCCCTTCCTCTCTGTAAAAAAATCAATAAAATATATATAAAAAGAGAAAAGAAATGCAAGGCAAAGCTATAGGCTTTGGCAAGAACACTACCACCAGAGTCATGAGGTCTAAAATGCTGAGGAGCCAAGGAAGTAATTAGGATGTGAAATGAAGAGTCAATGCTTGGAAGAAGAGGTCATTTAGGAGTGGGGCAGTCACATACTTGATGACATTGCCTGTCACTCAAGGAGTGTAAAACCCCAAAATTAACATTTATTTCTGAACCTTGAGTGTACCCAAGAAGGCTGAAGGCAATGTAAAGTGTATTCAGATAAAATCAGAGAATAGAACACATGCAATTTCTCAGCCCACTTCCCAAATGACCATGATAACCTAACTGCATTTCCATAATGGTTATTACACAATGTTCCTTAGGAATGTCTGACAGACCGAGGCAGAGTCCAGGGAGAAGCAAAACCCGTGAAATGAGGCTGCAGCCAGTTCATTCTTGCTCATTCCGGGTAGATGAAATTCTGCTCAATGGACTGTAAGGGATCTCCAAGCCTTGCTTATGAACTAGGGGCCTGTTCATCAATTGCCTTAAAATCATTCATGCCCATAGTCCATGGACACACACAATAGTGTGATAAAGATCAGAGGTGGGAGGTAGGGGGCAGGGGTTTGCCCAGAAGGGGTCAATGGGGGGAAAAATGGGACAGCTGTAATACTTTCAGCAATAAAAATTAAAAAACAAACAAACACTAAAGTAGCCCTAACCGGTTTGGCTCAGTGGATAGAGCGTCGGCCTGCGGACTCAAGGGTCCTGGGTTCGATTCCGGTCAAGGGCATGTACCTTGTTTCTAACTCTCTATCCCTCTCCCTTCCTCTCTGTAAAATATCAGTAAAATATATTTTTAAAAAAAACAAAAACAAAACAAAACACTAAAGTAAATTCATTCAAAAAACAAAACAAAAAACATTCTTCATTCATGGTCATGACCTGGTATTTTCATTTCTAGAAACTATTCTAAGAAAATAATCTGAAATGTAGTCAAAGATTAATAGACAGATATGTTCACAGCACTAATATTTATAGTGTTAAAAAATGAAACAATCTAAATGTTGAACATCCATATGATGTATTATTATAGTCATTGAAAACACTTATAATTTTAACGACATGAAGTATTTAAGATGTAGCAGTAACCCAACAGAAAAAACAAAATTATCTGACTGTCACCATGTAAAATACAGTATTTAAAACAAAGTATATTCATACACAGAACCAAGACCAAGTGAAAACAGGCCAAAATATTAATGTAGTTACCAAATAGTAGATGAGTGTATTTTTTTTTTATTACACTATTCTGTATTTTCTACAATGAACACTAATTTCATAACATTCCTAAAAGTTAAAAACAAACAGTATGGGTGCATGTATAGTGGGGGAAAGAAACATTTATAAGCCTTTTATTGTTTATTATGTGATGTACTGCTTTTTATTTTATTTTATACTTTTATTAATATATTTTATTGATTTTTTACAGAGAGGAAGGGAGAGGGATAGAGAGTTAGAAACATCGATGAGAGAGAAACATCGATCAGCTGCCTCCTGCACACTCCCTACTGGGGACGTGCCCACAACCAAGGTACATGCCCTTCACTGGAATCGAACCTGGGACCCTTGAGTCCGCAAGCTGACGCTCTATCCACTGAGCCAAAGCAGTCAGGGCTATTTTATTTTATTTTAAAATATTATTTTATTGATTTCAGAGAGGAAGGGAGAGGAAGAGATACAAACATCAATGATGAGAGAGAATCATTGACCGGCTGCCTCCTGCATGCCCAACACTGGGGATGGAGCCCACAACCCGACCATGTGTCCTGACGGAAAATTGAACCGTTCATAGGTCACAGATCAACCACTGAGACATGCCAGCAGGGAATGATGTATTGCTTTAAAAAAAAAAAATGTTTTGTTTTGTTTTTACTGATTTTTTAGAGGGAGAGAAAGGAAGAGAAACAACAATGTGAGAGCAGAACATCAATCTGCCTCCTGCATACCCCCTTCTGGGGATTGAGCCAGCAACTTAGGCATGTCTCCTGACCAGGAATCGGACCAGCAACCTTTTGGTGCCCAGGAAGATGCTCAATTGAGCCACACTGGTCAGGGCTGTAATGCATTGCTTTTTTTAATTAAAAAGAAAATGCTGGGAAAAAATACACCAAAAATATTGATACCTGGTTACCTCTGGGTTGTGGTATTATAAGTTATTTTTTTCTTTCTTATTGATTTGTTTCCCTTCCCATAATTTTCTTCAACAAATATTTTAACAATTAAAAACAAAAATAAACCCAGAATATACCAAAATAAAAGCAGTAGTAACAGGGGACAGGGATTACTTCTAAGCTATCTCTGGGAGGTGGGGGAGACTATTTCCACTATGCGTGTGACTAGTCCACAGTAGTAATAGCTAATGGTAACCAAACACGTTTATCCTCTAGATGACTTACACATTACCATGACTTACACATTATCAAGGACTTTTCTGTGGACTGTGCTCCCCCATGAAAGACTCACCTCTGGCCCTCTTCCTCTTCCTCATCTTCATCTTGGTCATGAATGAGGTCTTTGAAGGATGTTACCCTGTTATCGCTGGAGATGCAGAAAAGAACAAAATTATCTCAGGGAAGTTCATGAAAGGTAACCCCCACCACCAGCTGTTAAGGAGTTGAGGACACCTGGGTTAGATTTTTTGGTGCACAGGAAGAGGATCTTTGTAGAAGACAGTTTATATGTCTTCAAGTTTATATCTCTCCAAGTTTATATGTAAAATAATGTGGCATTTATTTCTTCAAGGTGACATAGGATTGAGAATAAGTTTAGAAAGGGGGAGAGGAACAAAATGGGGGTATGCACTATTTAAAAAACTTACTAATGGCCCTATCCGGTTTGGCTCAGTGGAGAGCTTTGGCCTGTGGACTGAAGGGTCCTAGGTTCAATTCCGGTTGAGAGCACAGGCCCAGGTTGTGGGCTCAATCCCCGGTTGGGGGCGTGCAGGAGGCAGCCAATCAATGATTCTTTCATCATTGATGTTTCTCTCTCTCTCACCCTCTCCCTTTCTCTCTGAAATCAATAAAAAAAATTTTTTTATTTTTTATTTATTTATTTATTTTTTTTAATATATTTTATTGATTTTTTACAGAGAGGAAGGGAGAGAGATAGAGAGTTAGAAACATCGATGAGAGAGAAACATCGATCAGCTGCCTCCTGCACATCTCCTACTGGGGATGTGCCCGCAACCCAGGTACATGCCCTTGACCGGAATCGAACCTGGGACCCTTCAGTCCACAGGCCGACGCTCTATCCACTGAGCCAAACCGGTTCCAGCAAAAAAAGTTTTTTAAATAAGTATTTTTAGTGTTTAGAAAAAAGCAGAGTTGTCTGAGGTGTGGTAGAGAGGCACACACAAAATGGGTGTGTGAAGGATTAACTCCCTCTTCTGATGTTGTCTTACTGACACTTTTTTTCTAGTTTAGATTTGTCCACGAAGAACAATCTTAGTTTTTCAAGGATCACAAGACACAAATTATATAAAAACATTTCCTGTATTTCTTAGGAGAAAATAATAGCATTCCTATGATATGGGGGCAAGAGGGCAATACAGATTTAGTGAGGCTAGACAGGAAAGGAAGAATTGTTTAACTAGGAAGAAAGTTCCAGTTCAGTCTAGAAGGAAACAAGTAGGGGACAGAACAGGCTTTGAGGTTCCATCAACTAGAAATGGGAAGATAAAGACCAACTGGTGAGGCGAATACATTCCCTGATCAAGTTAGTTGTGAGCAACTTCCTCGGCATTCTTTGATGCTCTATATGACATGGGTAAAAAAAACAAAAAACAAAAAAACCTGGCTTTCTGTTGTTAAACACTTTCTAATACACATGTGTGCACTTGCTTGAGTAAAACACTTGTTCTGGATATGGGTTTCTTTCCCCAAAAGTTCTTATATCTAGACTCTGACATCACCTAATACAGATTCTGATGTTCACATATCTGGGTCCGATCCCAACTTAGCGTCCTACCCTAGGATTCTGGGCATACTAATAAAGTTTCTAAGCCTTTGTTTTTTCATGTGGAAATGGAGATAATCATAGCACCAACCTCATAGGCTTTCTGTGAACAACCGGGGTACTGATGCATAATGTAGCACATTTCAAGTGCTACTCTTGAGCAACGGCTCTCAAAGTGTTGGTCCTTGGACTGGAGCATCGGTATTACTTATGAAACTGTGAGAAATGCAAATCCTCGGACCCCACTTTAGACCTCTTCAAACAGAAACTATGGAGGAGTGTCTAGCAATCTGCTTTTAAGGAGCCCTCCAAGTAATTCTGATGCATGTTCCAGTTTGAGAAACACTGCTCTGAGAGTTACCTTAATGGTATGGATGTCTTGAGGACACTGCCAATTTCAGAATATTTTGTCTATGTCCTCCACAAGTTGGCAAAATGTCTCAGAAATCTCAATTTTTCAACATCAAAACTGTCTCTCCCAGGCTACCGTGGAACCCTGAAGTGGCACAAATGTCCTTTGCCAGACATTTTCTGCAGTGCGGATTATCCAATACAGAAACCACTAGTCACATGTGGCTACTGAGCATTTGAAATGTGGTTAAGTACAAATATTTAATTTTAATTAAACAACCACATGAGGCTAGTGGCTATAATGGACAGTATAATTTTAGATCAGACAATGGTAGTCCCTGAAATTCTCAAAAAGTATAGTTTTGTTAGATGGAAGAAAAAGACAAAATAGGAACTAACTGCTACCTCTTGGTTGACCCTGTGCTAGGTACAGGGGTGGGAGATGCTGAACGGGGAAGTAGAAGTAACTCTGGAATTAGACAGACTTGGGCTTGAATCTGGCATAAGAGCAACTGTGAGTTACTCAACCTTTCTAAGGCTCAGCATCTTGACCTGTGAAATGGTGAGCACCCTACCTACTTCCACAGCTACTGAGATATAAGAGAACGTGAGGATACCTGGCAGAGCTTGACAGATGTGGGTGCTCCTGAAATACCAGCCCCTACCACTTCTTGGGACTTATGATTTACTTAGTGATAAAAAACGAAGTTAAATGTCAGAAGAAGAGTTCACAAAAACACAGTAGAGATGTTACCGAGCAGAAAAAGGATATGCGTCAAATAAGTGAATTACAGTTGTGACTGGAGTTCTGAGGAACAGGGTTGTGGTGTCCTGCCTGTGGGTTGGGGATAACATGCTCAATAGGGAAGGTGGGACTGAAGCTAAACCCGGAGAGAAGCAGGAGATCTGGACAGGCAGAAAGCAAGAGTGGGCATGCCCCATCCGATAAGAGGCTCAAACAAAAGTGAAAGAACCAAAAACAAGGCAAAATTGAGACACCAAGAAATCAGTGAGGTGAATGAGAAAAGGGGGTTACGATTAGGATGGCAAGTTCACTGCACTCTGGAGGACCCTGAAAGTCCACAAGGAGAGGCAGGACATAATTCAGCTGAACGCTGAATGCTGGAACCAGATTGCTGCATTTAGATCCTTGTTTTACTAGCGGTGTGATCTTGGGAAAATGCCCAGCTTCAGTGTCTTCACCTGTAAAATGGAAATAACAGCAGTATCCACCTCACAGAGTAGTAGTGAGGACTAAAGAGATATATGTACAGACTTAATCCAGTGCCTGGTACTTGGTAAGTGCTCAATAAATGACTGTTACTATGAAGGAATTTAGATTTTCTCCTGTAGCAATGATTAACCTTTTTATGTCCTGAAGACCTTTGAGAATCTGACAAATGCTATGGATTTCCTTGCCAGAAAAAATACTACAAACAAATTTTTGCCTACAATCTCAGGTAATTTATGAACCTTCTCACCATTCCATGGATTTCTCCAAAGAGTTCAGAGCCACCCCACTAAGAACCCTTGCTCTAGAGTCAAAGGAGTAACTTACTAATTGTCATTCATAGCAGCAGCAACGACATGAAAGATATCTGAGATGAAAGAGAGTGGAGCATGGGGAGAGCCCAGAGGAGACTAAGTGTCCTGCAACAGTCAAGTCAAACCGGACTGGGGGTGGGAAGAAGCAGGCCCCACACAGAACTCCTTTGAGGTGCCAGCACAAGCTCGGCTTCTACGAATGTAGTCAGTGTTTTCCTTCTGGACAAGGACAACATTGCAACAAACTGCCCTTCCTTTCCCTCAATGCCAAGTCTGAGGTTTAACCAAAGCAATAAAGTAAGGCCTTTGGGTCTGCATGTGTTCAGCCTTTTACTGCCCTCAGTCTTAACATTAAACTCTCCTATTTCCTTGATTCTTTTACTTTATGTCTATTTCTAAATATGTATACTTGCTGTGAAATGACAAGAAACATAAAGAAAAAATGGGGAAGGTGAGAATGGATGCCAGTAGTAATAAAATGACAATAATAGCTCTTTGTGTTCAAAGTGCTTTGTAAATATTAACTCATTTAATCTCCTATTTGGTAGGGACTATTATCATTCCCATTTGACAAGTGAGAAAAACTGAGGGACTGAGATGTTAAGTAACCTGCCCAAGGTCACAGATCTCTTAACCACTCCCTTAATAGGACGTTGGGATTACTAGGAAAGAGAGGTGTGAATACGTGACTGACATCATAGGCTAAGTTTCAACTTCTCCCGCTCTATCTCTCTGACATGCCAACACCCCAACAGTAACCTGGGGTGGCTATGAAATCAGCTATTTATACCAGCAGCTGCAAGAGCCCTTATTCTATAACTATGTCCCAAGCAGTAACAACCTGATGTGCCATTAAGGACATCTCACAGGTTAGCACCTAGGAATAATGAAAAGATCAGTTGTCTACAACCTCTTTCTTCTGGAAATGGGAGGAAGGGAAAGTAGTTAAGGAAGCAATGAGATCGGGGGTTAGTGTTCTGTTGAAGGGAGGAAATGTGCCTTGGCTGGTGTGGCTCAATGGTTAAAGCACCAGCCCAAGCACTAAAGGGTTGGGGGTTCAATTCCCTTTCAAGGGCTCATACCTGGGTTGGTTGCAGGTTCATTCCCTGCTGCAGTCAGGGTGCATGCAGGAGGCAACCAATTGATGTGTCTCTCACATCGATGTTTCTCTCTCCCTCTCTCTCTGAAAATTAATTGAAAAAATCCTCAAGTGAGGATTAACCAAAAAGTAAATAAATAAATAAAAATAAAGGGACATGTAATTTAAGGCTCAGAAACACAATTAGCAACTCACTGGCAAAGAAACACTATATCTATATTCCAGGATTGAAGTCAAACCCAAATACATTTACTTTCTCTAAGACTTTTTTTTCTTAAATATATTTTTATTGATTTCAGAGGAGAAAGGAGAGGGAGAGAGAGATAGAAACATCGATGATGAGAGAGAATCATTGATCGGCTGCCTCCTGCACACCCCACCCCTGGGATTGAGCCTGTAATCCAGGCATGTGCCCAGACCAGGAATCGAACCATGACCTCCTGGGTCACAGGTCGACACTCAACCACTGAGCCATGCCAGCTGGACTCTAAGACTTCTTAATAGGGTAATGGGCATCCTAAAATGTCAACAAACAATCTAAAACAACAACAAAACCCCTTTTAAAGTCTAATCTTGTACACCTACAGCACCCCTGAAAGGAAGTCCTTCAGTTTCTACTGAAACCTCAGAGATGAAGAGGCCACTCCTGACTTTCATAAATAAAAGACCCTCAAACACCTTAAAAGGAGGTTCTGAGGTTTCCCCCAGGATGATCATAAACCACACTCACTAAGAGTCCCCATCTGAGAGTGTCATGCATATCTCTACAGGAAAGGAGCAGTGAGGTCAAACAGGGTTGGATTGGGGGAAGGCAGGCTCGACATAGAGTTCCTCTAAGGAGTTAGCACAAGCTTGGCTTCTGAGAATGCCACCAGAGTTTTCCTTCTGGACAAAGAACTAGGACCCACCAGTCAGTCTAGCTTCGTCACTGAAACTCACTGTTCCATATGCCCAGGCCTGAACCCTCTGTCAGCTAGGAAACAGCTCCTCATCACTGCTGGAAGCACACCCATATAGCCCTTACCTGGAGACTGTGCCTCTGGATACTGAACTGGGGGTTGCCTGCGAAATGGTCACAATGTCTTCGTCCCCTCCATCCTCATAAAAGCTCGCCAGGGCGATCTGAAACAGAGAGGTAGTTACTTGGGATCCGTAAACAGGCCTTCATCTAACACATAACTCCTCTGAGTACAAAGGAGCACAGACACAAAGATACGGCCCACACTTACAAGTAGGTCTGTACCTGAGGGTCACAGAAAATTAGACCAACTGTTACCTGAAACAAATTCCACCTACTCTGAGGGGGGGAAAGGCAAGAAGGCAGGCTGGGATGGAGACACTCCTCATTCTCATTTTATTTAAAAACATGATCTAGTAAAAGCTGTGTACAATTACTGAGCACTTATATGCCACATTGAGTGTAACTGCACATGTGCTAACTCACTTCATCCTCAAAGAACCCTATGTAATTTTAACCACTATCCTCTCATTTTACTGTTAATACAGAAGTCCTCAGAAATTAAGAAAACGGCCAAGGTCACACAATTGGTAAGGAGCAGAGCCAGGTTCCATCCCAGGCAGTGTGCGCAGGCTCTTGTTCTCTGCTCCTGCGTGACAGCCAGGAGCCAGGAACTGTGAGGCCAGTCCAGATGCTGCTTCTACTCTCTCTCTCTCTCTCTGAGGCTCGGTTTCCTACCCATCCCACCAAACCTGCACAAGGGATGAGAGAATCCTTTAATACTTATAGAGCCGTGTCTTAGCTCTACAGGCAAGGAACAGGGAAGTCTTTTGGCCATTTGTGACTGTTTCTCTCATCGACTCAATGGGCAGGCATTTACTAATCACTTACTCTGCACAAAGAAATAAAGAGCAGGGAGGTCTACAGAGATGAAAAAGACATGGCTTCTGTCCTCAAGGTCACCGGCCTTAAAGGAGGCAGTGAGCTGTTGTGGGACATAATCATCCCACTAGGAACTGTGTGCCTTCACGGGATATAATGTAACTTGCCGGCTGCAGGCAGTGTGCCACTGCAGGACGTAACAGCCTTGCAAGGAGCAAGTGTGCAGTCATGGGATATGAGTGACAGGCACTGAGAGGTGCCTTCATTCAAGTGATGGCCTGGCCAGGCAAATCATGCCACAATGCGTGACACTGTTTTCCCACCTAGAGTGAGGAGACTGGGGCTGGTGGCGTGCTAACTCTAACACCGTGAGCTCCCAGGTCTTTCAGGCAGAGTCTGCGCTTTGTATTTCTGCCCCCACAAGAGCTCTGCTCACACTGTCTGCTGAGGTGTGACGCTTTCTCTCTTTGGGGAAGCAATTTAAACGGTGGAGTCAACCGGCCCAGTACAAATCCCAAACTCACTACTTATTGGCGGTGTAGCCCTGGCATATCAATTACCCTCCGAGCTTCCGACTCCTCGCCTATACAACCAGGCTCGTCTTCTGGACCTCAGTCTTGCCGGGATTAAACGAACCATCATATGTAAAGTGCCTGGCACACGGTGGTGAGGAAGCTGGGTTTTGGAATCAGACAGCACTGAGTTCTAATGTTCTCTCCCCCACCTGCGAGGTAGTGAGGCCCTGAGCACGTAACTGAAGCGCCCTAAACCTTAGCTGCAAAATGCAAAGCTGACATGACTCAAGGCACGTAAAAGCAGTTAGAACACCATCCGGTTCGTGGTCGGTGCTCAATAGACATTAATCACCCTCTTCCCAAGATGTACGCCGGCCAGGAACATTTATGCAATTCTTTCTGCGATTTTTATGTGCCGGGCATCGTTCCAGATACGAGTGATTTAAAAAGTTTACAAAAAAAAAAACAACAACCCTGCGTGTGGCTCATCTTCATGTCTTAATAAGTATTTATGAATATTGAATACGTGCCGGGGAACTAAACAATCACCTCTACGAGACCTCCATTTGACAGGGAAGGTAACTAAGAAAGATGAATACATGCCAACCCTGCGCCACCGCCCCGGGGGTAGGTTCTCCCAGCAACTGGGTGGGGGGCGCGTGGGCCAAATTCTTGGCCGGCTTCTCCCTCCTCCTGCGATCGGGAATGGCCATCAACGACCCCTCGGCCCCGCGGTGGGGTCCCTCGGCCCGGGCTC